AGAGAGGGAAGAAGCTGAAGATTGGTTACGAGAGGCAAAGAGAGCCGAATGGCATCAATATTGGCACGAGTTTAAGGGAACAGGAAGATGAAGATGGTACAGATGGAGAGCACGATTGAATATGTCCCGCATTGTTCAAGAAACAAGGTGACAGCAGATGGAAGCCAAAATGGCAAGGCGTTCAAGCTCATCAGGGGGAAGTAACGCACCCCCTTTCAGGGAAGCTTGCCATCCTGCCCCAGTTTGCATCATGTCTGACTCACACAACATGGAAGGTGACCTAGGATCTGAAGTTCACGTTGAGGGCCTGTCAAAGAATCCTCTCCACACCAGAAATGAAGGTGCTGATGGCACCTTCAAACCACAATGAGTTGAGGAGGTGTTAAGACAGATAAAAATTGGACCAGACCTGACTGCAACCCAGCACTCAGAGGTTGAAGATCTCCTCAGGTCCTATGCAGACTGTTTCACACTTTCAGTTAGCGAAGTGAGAAGGGTGGATGGAGCTGTACATCGTCTCAACATCCCACAAGATGCATCATTCTCAAAGCAGGTTCATCAATGCCCCCTAACACCACCACAACGACAGTACCTACACGAAAAGATCGACGAGATGCAGGCAGCTGGGATCATCCAACAGTGCAATCCAAGTGATGTCAAATGTGTATCTCTGATAATGCTTGCACAGAAAGCTCATGAGGGAAAGGGGCTATCACTAGAGGAACTTCAGCACAAGGTCAATGATGAATGTCTCGCTGCAGGCTTACCACCAGCATTCAATCTACCACCACGACCTCCCCCATGTGCTGAAACAGACCTACTAAAACCACCGAAATAGCACATATGTCAGAACTACCGAGAGGTTAATAAAGTAACAGAAATCGCACCTATGCCTCAAGGTGACATGTGAGCAAAGCAGCAAGCCGTCAGTGGCCACAGATAGTTGTCCTTGTTTGACTTTGCATCTGGCTTCTATGCTGTCAAGGTTGCAGAGGAATCCCAACCATACACTGCATTCTACGTGGAAGGAAAGGGTTACTTCTGGTATCTGTGCATGCCCTTTGGACTTACCGGGGCCCCTTCAACATTTGCACATCTAACAGCAACAACACTGAGTGATCTCATTGCCGATGGTACAATGGAGCTATTTGTTGATGATGGAGCTGCAGCATCAGATGACTTTGGAATGATGATGGAGAAGATACGACGTCTTCTTACACGAGTTCGAGATACAGGATTATCACTATCAGCCAGCAAGTCCAAATTCTTTGTGACAGAAGGCATTTTTGCAGGAGCAAAAGTCGGACCAGACGGTGTTACAGCTGACCCCGCAAAGCTGACAGCTATCATCAACTGGAAACAGCCTACCGATGCATTGAACCTATCTTCGTTCTTGGGTATTACGGGACACTTTCGAGATCTCATCAGGGGATATGCAAAGATTGAAGGACCTTTGCATGACCTTACAAAGGAGGTCAACATTCCACCCAAATGCTCAAAGTCGGTGTGGCGACGCACCATGGCAAATCACAAGTTAAATGGCCGATGGACAATAGAACATACCAAGGCATTTATCGGCCTGAAGAAAGTGCTAACATTGGAACCAGTACTGAAAAGTCCAAGGTGGGATGGCAGTCATTTTATCGTTACCACAGATGGCTGCAAAGAAGGCTTCGCGGGCGTCCTCACACAATGCTTTCAAACGGTCCTACCCAGTGGGAAAGTTGTCGAAAAGATACATCCTATCGCATTCGCTTCTAAAAGAACATCATCATCAGAGCAGAATTACAAGCCTTTTCTATTGGAGTTCGCTGTGTTGAAGTTCTCCCTCGATAAGTTCTCGGACATCATCTGGGGGTACCCAGTCAAGATAGAGACTGATTGTCAGGCTCTACATGACGTGCTGATTAGCAAAAAAATGAATGCAGCCCACGCCAGGTGGAGAGATGGTATTCTGGCTCATCATATCGTTGATGTTCGACATGTGCCAGGCAAACTAAATGTTGTGGCAGATGGCATGAGCAGAACCTGGGAGGGAGTACCACGAGAATCTGGAGACGGCAGTGAATGGACTGTCAGTGAAGATTGGGAGCACTCACATGGTCTCAGGCATGATCTGTTTACAGTTAATCATCATGAGCCATCAGCGTTGTGGAAGAGATTCCACAACGAGCCAGTATTTCAACAGGTGGTGGAAGCTCTAGAGGACAACCAGATCACAGGAAGTCTACGGACAAAACAGCATGCAAGGCACCGAGCCGTTAACTATGCAATAGAGAATGGAAAGCTCTGGTGCTCAGGCATTGGACCGAGGGCACGACCGAGAGTAGAGTGTGTCACGAGAGAAGAGGCTACTAGCCTAGCTCGCCTTGAACATGAGAAGGGAGGTCACTGGGGAAGAGACTCAGTCAAGATCGCATTGCTCGACAGGATCTGCAGCCCGAAACTAGACGAATCCATTACAAAGGCTATCAAATCATGTTCTCGGTGCAAGAATTTTGGGGGTACTCACCTTCATTCATTACTGCAGCCCATCACAAGAAGGCACCCATTCGAACTGATAGTTGGGGATTATCTCTCACTCTCAAGTGGAAAAGGAGGTTACCATACAATTGGGCTGTACCTCGACACGTTCTCACAACATGCATGGGCATTCAAATATAAAACAGCAGGGAGCACGAAGACCACAAAAGAGGGGCTACACAGCATCTTTCAGGGTTTTCTTCCACCAGAAACTTTCATGACGGATGGCGGGGCACACTTCAAAAACCATGAAGTCAAAGATTTCTGCACAGAGTGGGGCGTAAAGCACCATGTCATCTCAGCATACTCCCCGTGGGTGAACGGACTTGTGGAGGGCACGAATCGTCTCCTGCTGCATGTTCTCAAGCGGTTGTGTGCTCCAGAGCTGGGGGAGGACCTGCCAGAAGGGTATAAATTCGTGGACTTACCAAGATCATGGCCAGATCATCTCGACGAGGCCATTCGTTGCTTGAACTCACGAATCCTGCTGGCACTGAAATACACACCAAAAGAGCTTCTATTGGGGATGATGGTAAATACAGCATCCACAACACTAGAAAATTCATCATCAGTGCTTCGCAAAGATGATGCACAATGCCATCTGGCTTTTGTAGCCCAGCAGCAGCTTGATGGCTATGATAGCATCGTGCGACACGCTATCAAGCGCAAAACAACGTTCAACGCCAGAGTCCTTGCTCGTCATCCAAGGGAGGTTGTCTTCAAGAAGGGTCAGCTCGTCCAGGTTTACAGAAGTGACATGGACTACACCTTCAGAATGGAAAAGAAACTAATTCCCAAGTGGTCAGCGCCACTCCGTGTGCGAGAGCGAATCGTAAACTCATACTGGCTTGAAACCCTTGATGGAAAGACATTGGAGGGTGAATTCAGCTCTCGGCGTTTGCGTAGTTTCATCCCCAGAGAAGGTACTAGATTGGCAGCACAACAGGCAGAGTTGGAAAGCCGACTCCAGAGAGAAGAGCAACAAGAGAGGGCAACTGGCACAGATGTGGATGTAGAGGAGCAGCCTGCTGACGAGTGAGCATCGAGGACGCTGCTCGTTCTTTGACGGGGGCACATGTAGTAGGGTATCCTGTCATGGCCGGAGGGATCCATGCGCTATTTGGGCCTGTTTGGCAGCGTCAGTAGTCAGATCGTAGCTTTGCATCGTAGAGAAGACAGAATCACAACCTGATATCATCATCTCTGCTCTCAGTCAGCTCGGGCCATCCCACTGGCACATCGGGTTGGTCGGTCGGTCGGTCCAAAAGGTCCTTAAAAATTTTTTGCCCCCCTCTTGTAAAATAGCATCCAGAGACCCTAGACACTGCTGGAGGTGTTTATTTCAGCTGATATATGATATTCATGACTTAACATGGCTAAAAAAGCGCCGGAAAAGCGGTCAAAATGATGTTGAAGGCTCAAAACGCCAAGGGCATGCTGCCGGATATCGGCAGGATTACTGAGAATGGAGTTACCAGCTGTAAAAATATTTGGTCAAGTTCGACGGATCCAAAATTGGAAGGGTCTGTCATGTACAGTAGGACGGTGTTGTTGCTAGCAGACAAAAATCATATACTATCAGCATTTAGATCGAGGATGAGAGAACTAAGTATGCGGAAAGCTCGCACTGGCGGATGACTCCGACACGGAGTGATTACATAATGTTTCCTTTGTGGGTATGTTTTTTCCACGGCGGTCGGTCGGTCGGTCCATCGAGGCCTTAAAAAAATTTTCGACCCGATATGATTTTTTCGGTTTTTGCGACCCCCTTGGTCTCCGTCGTAGAGATGATGGTCACAGGTCACGGGACGTGACAGAACGCGTTGCTGCTTCTTAGACTCCTTGTAAGCATGCCTCGAGTCAGTCCGTGTTAATGCCACGACCAGGTAACGGATCTTATGGCTACGTATTGACAGAACATCTGGGAAAATCTAGATGCCTGCGATCCTGCGAATGGACGGTCCTCCACGCTTCACCTTGGAAGCGGGAAGTAAAGAAATTGGATGGACTGAGGTCAAACCGGTCTGGAGCAGTCGAACAAGGGTTGGAATTATCACTTTCTTATAAAGTCTAGTGCTGGAGGTTAGAAATGTAGGGCAACAGCGTTAGCCAAAATTGGCACGAATCACTGCAGCATCTTGACGAACAGAGTCAGCCTTCGGATCTGTTATAGAGTGTGATATCGAACAGACCACATACGAGGACACAAGCGACAAGCAATGGAGGCTACGTTAGTCACCACAGGGACGTTCAAGTTGTTGGTGGCCCCGACCTGAACGTAGTTATGATCGCCACCCCTGTGCGATGCCGTTCTGCGAACGGCACCTGATTCAGGTATTCCATCAGACGAGCGTGAAACAACAACGAATGACCCTGTCGATTGAAACAACCACGCACCGTTTGCAGCTAGGCCAAGGACTTGATTTCGAAAAGTACGGTGACTGACCTTGGCAAGAGCAAGAGCCAAGAATTCAAATGTTCAGCTTGAGGAGAATTGTGCTACCGACATTTGCCAATTTTCCAGATGTAGACAATGCGCGTCGCTAACATTTTGCATCACTCGGGATCCCTCCGAGTGGTACACACAATATAAGCAAGATATAGGTATTCATGCATAAGTTATTCACAAGGCAGTTAAGAAGTGCGATCAGTTTACTGCAGCGGACGACCAAAGCGGCGGCTCCCTTTGAAGAAAGATCGCTGGGTCATACATATTGCTTTCTGAATAGTCATTGATCAGCAGCGATGAGTGAAAATAAATGAAAGGAAACACCTTACCATCACAGCAGATACATAAATGACGGGGCCAAATCTCCATCCATCCCTTTAACCTCCTGTCCCAGCATCTTCCTCTTCTTCCGATTCATCCGCACGAAATATCCCAAACATAATGCAGACCCAACAAGCATCCCAACGCTACATACCACCATCACCTTGGTCCCAAGCACGTACCTGGGCGCCGTGCTCAAGTCCCCCAGCAACCACGTTGACAAAATTCCTCCGAGGCACGACACCATAAACATGATAGCGTTGCAGTCGCACGACGAACGTGCGGCGCCGAATTAATGGAGTTCCACGTTGCCAACGTCGGAGTGATGGCGTACACACCCGGTATAATCAAAAAGAGGCTACCATACCGGGTGTTTGCCGACGACGAGGTGAGAAACATGATAAATCCTATCAAGGTCATGATGGAAGTCACAATACAGACAAGGCCTCGAATAGGAAATCTGTCACATAGGTAAGCTGTGATCATTGACAACGCAAAGGCGGCAGCAAATGGCGGCACACTCATGAGCTGGGAGCGAGCAGCAGTGTATCCCAAGCTCTGGACAATTGATGGCGTAAAGCTACAAATAAGGTTAGAACAGTTCTAAAAGCGGGACGGGAGAGGAATACGTACAAGGCCAAGCCAAAAAGGACGGCACCCTCAAAGAAGAATATGACACTAATGATCCAGACGTGCGGCGCGACTAATGCCTTTCTCACTTCTCTCCACTCAACTGCTCCCCTCCTGACTCAGCGATCTGACTCGCTACATATTCGCGTTCAGCCGGACGCAAAAACCTCACAGCCATAGCATCTCTAGGCAGAAGAAAGTAGCCTATCAGGCCACAAGCGACGCTGAACGCGCCTTCGAGGATGAATATCCATCGCCATCCTGCGCGTCCACCTATGCCGTCCATGCGTATAATACCATAGGCTAGGATCCCTGAGAACGCCCCTGAGAGTGAGGCAGACGCGAAAAATGCTGATACACGGGTGACCATCTTGGCACGGGGGTAGAAATGTGTCAAGTATAATACCACCCCCGGGATAACGCCACCTTCAAAGACCCCAAGGAAGAATCGACAGACAAGGAGGCCTCCATAGCTCGTCACCACTCCTTGGAGGACGGTGATCACACCCCAACTGATGAGTAAGGTGGGAAGGAGATAGTTCGGTCCAATAACCTGAGTGGGTTGCCAATAAGCTCGAGAACGGTAGTTATTAATTGACATACTCGGAGTAACAGATTTGAAGGTAGCTCAGCTGCAATATTCGGAATATAAGTGACCGTCAATGCCATGCAGTACTGCTTGTTTGACATTTGGAGGTCGTGTTGAAGGCCAGCGATACGTGCATTGCCAATGTTTGTTCTATCCTATGGTGGGTTTCAGTCATTCCAGATATTGAAAAGATCATGAACGGCATACGAGGAACGACAGGAAGTAAAATATTGTTATGACCGGTAGTAGAAATAGGTCGAGCTTGAGCCATACCCTTTTTGCCGACGATGCATCGAATTCGATACTGAGATGGCTCTTTTCGCTGTAGCTCCGGTTTGGATCGTGGCTGTCCTGAAGAAAGTCTGTCATGATTGTCAAAGAGGCGAATATGAGCAATTAAGGTAGATACAGATACCAGCGCATCTTAACGTGTGACACTAATGCCACCATCATCACGAGATGATAAGTAAAGGGAGAAAGAAGCACCTAACGAGAATCGGTCATGATTGATAGAGATAACGAACCTAAGCATATATATATATATACCCAGTGACCAATCGTAAGGTCCTGAGACGAAAAATCCCACTATACTGCTGGTTAGCAACGTTGGCGGTATCCTAACATACGACAATGGGAATCACACTGAACGATTAAAATGAAGCAAACCTTAAATTCTTCTCCCGTTCACTATACGGCTCCTTCTATCCTCTGTTGATAACATTCCCAAATGAAGCCCAACGGTCTCCGAGGCCGCGGTAACGTGTTAGAGAGAATATTTTCTTATCAGAAAAACCATTCAGTGTCGCGTGAGGAAGCCATATCCCCAGCAATGAGAGTGAGAACACCGGTTCAAACGTGATCATGGTGGAATGTCTGAAATGCCGGCTAATGCTTTTGGATATTCTTTCTCACGCGGCACACCATGGGTTATGATCCAGCCTTCTGTTCTGCCACTGCCAGTGCGATTAAGTGAAGTATTATTGATGTGTCAATGACAGTGATCATATACACGCGTTCAATCATGTCAAACACCCACATTATCATTGGTGCGCATGCAGATTTCCGTTCTTTGCCAGCGGCAATACCAGGCCCTTGAGTATATGTTTGTTAATGGAGAAAGAATGAGGATTTTGAGAGAGCGTACTTTTGGAAGAAGCCACAAAAGTGCGGGTCTTACACGAACTTGAGGTCTGGGACTATCGTGATAGCTGAAGCACAATTACTCTCAAGACGCGACATGCATGCGGCTGCTTGCTCGAAATACTAGAATAATATTGCGTGACTCCCTCCCAGCCTGAGCACAAGACCGGAGCTGTTGATGCCTTCTGGCATAAAGAAGACAGCCTTTTGCAACGAGTTACCATGAGTGGATGGCCAAGACCGTTCGGTGAGATTAGGAAGAAAGGAAAAGAGTCGTGTGACTCGAGACGGTAATTTGCATAGAACGTATCATTGAAGACGCGTATCCACCGCTCGCATAAGTCGAAGCAGGTCTGGTGAATAGTCGTGATATGATAAAGATACGGTACATAGGAGGAGACTGGACACTGACAATAGATCAGTATATAAGTCAAAATTTGCTGTAGGAATCTCTTACAATATTAGCGGTGCCAAAGGTGCCATGCTTTGAAGGAAAGCTTATTCGATACATTTCTACCTGAACGGTGGTCGATCATCAGCGCACAGCGTGTATGAATAGAGGAAAACGTCTTACTATCATAACAGATATGTAAATGACGGAGCCAAATCTCCATCCATCCCTTTAACCTCTTGTCCCAGCATCTTCCTCTTCCTCCGATTCATCCACACGAAATACCCTATGCATAACACAGACCCCATAAGCATACAGGCACTGAATGCTACCATCACCTTGGTCCCAAGCACGTACTTGGGCGCAGGGCTCAAGCTCCCCAGCAACTACGTCGATAAAAGTCCTCCAGCGCTCGTCACCATAAACCCGACAGCGATTGCTGTCGCACGACGAACGTGTGGCGCCGAGTTGGTAGAGTTCCAGGACCCCAATGTCGGAGTAGCGGTGTACACAGCAGGTATGGTCAAAAAAGAGGCTACCATATCGGGTGTCTGCCGACGATGAGGTGAGAAACATGATAAATCCTATCAAGGACATGATGGAGGTGACAATACAAACAAGGTCTCGGATAGGGAGCTTGTCACATAGGTACGCGGTCGTCATTGAGAATGCAAAGGCGGCAGCAAACGGTGGCACACTCATGAGCTGGGCGCGAGCAGCAGTGTATCCTAAGCTCTGGACAATCGATGGTGCAAAGCTACGAACGATGTTAACACAGTCCAAAAGATGAGATGGAAAATGGAACACTTGCAAGGCCAAGCCAAAAAGAATGGCGCCCGCAAAGAATAATAAGATGCTAATGATCCAAACATGCGGTGCGACTAATGCCTTCCTCACTTCTCTCCACTCAAACTTCTCCCCTCCAGACTCAGCAACCTGACGTGCCACGTATTCGCGTTCAGCCGGACGCAAAAACCTCACAGCCATAGCATCTCTAGGCAAAATAAAGTGGCTTATTAGGCCAAAAGCGATGGTGAATGCACCTTCGAGGATGAATATCCATCGCCACCCTGCGCGTCCACCTATGCCATCCATGCGTATAATACCATAGGCAAGGATTCCCGAGAATGCTCCGGAGAGTGAGGCAGAAGTAAAGAAAGCCGATACGCGGGTCGTCATCTTGACACGAGGGTAGAAATACGTCAAGTATAAAACTACCCCGGGAAACGCGCCGCCTTCGCACAGCCCGAGAATGAACCGACAGGCAAGGAGGCCGCCATAGCTCGTAACTACTCCTTGGAGGGTGGTAGCTGTACCCCAACTGATCAATAAAGCGGGAAGGAGATAGTTCGGTCCAATAACCTGAATAGGTACCAGTAAGCTCGCGAACGGTGGAAGAGATTTATCGACATACTCGGAGTAAAAGATTGGAGGATAGTTCAGCAGAAATATTCGAAATGTAAGTAAGTGTCAATGCAATGCTGTACTGCCTGTCGGTTATTTGGAGATCACGTTGAAGGCCAGCAATACGCGTATTGCCGATGTTCGTTCTGTCCTGTCGCGGACTTCAGTCATTCCAGAAATCGAGAAGATAAATGGACAACATACCAGGTAGGACAACAAGTGGATTGTTGCTATGACCGGTAGTAGAAACAGGTCGAGCTTGAGCCATACCCTACTTGCCTTGAATGACGAATCGAGTTCAATAGTGTGACGGATCTTCTCGCTATCGCTGCGATTTGAATCGTGGCTGTCCTGAAGAGAGTCAGCCATGATTGTTAGATAACGGATATGAACAATGTAATATATATACCCAGGGACCAATCGTAAGGTCATGAGATGCAAAATTCCATAATCCAGAAGGAGCGGGTAATGAACCAGAGATGTATGATGCTTGTCTTCTTCCGAATCGGAGTTAGCGACCTTCGCCGCAGTATCCTAGAATACGATGATCAGAACCAAACTGGACGATAAGAAAAATGAAGTAAACTTTAAAAAGCCATCGCATGCAATACGGCATCCTTTATCCTCCATTGATGATGACCTGGAATAGAGCCCAATGGTCTTCGAGGCCAGGACAACGTGCTAGACGAAGATAATTTTGCCTCAAGGGCATTCCCTATCGCGTGAGCAGGCTACGTCCCCAATGATGTTCATGGTCAACAAGTAACGGTGGAGTGCGTATTTGGAACCGAAGCCATCACGATGCTTTTTGATATATTCTTACACAAAGCATTTGATTCCAGAGAGAACATCACTTCGTGTAGCAGACTCATGTTCCAGCTACCGCTCTTTCATCCTCACCTGAATAGAAGAGTTTAGTAGATCAGATAGGATGTCCCATACCGAACGGTCTGGGTATCTATAAAAGGCAGCGCACTAGACACCGAGGACCTGGCTGAGAAATGAGGCAGGACCCAGCGTTTTAGAGGGAAGCGTGGAAGTTCCGACGTCCAGTTCCCTCATGGCAATTGCCGGCATACCGGCCCGTGCGCATGAAGGAACTTCCGCAGAACCATTGAGATGGAGACCTAGATGCTTTAGGTGATCACCATGTTCGGCGACGACGACTAGACCTGTATGCCCGCGATGCTCATTGGTGTGGCATGTAAATAAAACTACATGTCGAGTCAAGACAGCGTTGAGCAGCCAAAACGAAGCCATACCGGCTTATTCAAACGAGGATCCTAGCTGCTTCGTTCTTGTGAAATAGTCAAGCTCCCACAGTAGCAGAGAATAACTTAGAAGAGATCAATACAAGGTCACACCAGTATCAACGGCATCAGACACTGAACATGTACATTGGGTATAGCATCAAGCACCAGCACTGAGACCTGCAGCATCTTGAACCAAAGTCAACCTTCAGACCTTCATCAGAAACAATGGGAAACAATATATGATATTGGAACTAACCGTATGCGAGCCCATGAACGACGAGCAAAGGCCACCACCATATTCACCACGGGGACCTCGTTGGCAGCGTTAGTCTCAGGAATAAGGATGTATCCTCCTGTGCGATGGCATTCCGCAGAACAACAGCTGATTCAGCTATCCCGTCACATGAGAGCGAAGAAAGCCTCTCGGCCTGCAGTCGAGCCAAGAAATCTAGTTCGAAAAGCACGGCGACTAACCTCGCCGAGACCGGAAGAAAGGTTCAGCTGGACGAGTCTTTGCGCTGGCGGTGGTTTATGATACATTGGGCCTTCATAGTACTCGGCATCACTGAGGATTCCCCGATTGACACGCATAAGAACAAAATATAAACATTTATTTGCATAGCATCTAAAATTGTGATCAGTCTACAGCAGTACGCGACTGATAAAGCAGCTTACCTTCACAAGAAGGTTCGTTTCAAGTATACACATTACTACTTGCAAACGATGATCAATGTTCATTGCATATGAATGAAGGGAAACACCTTACCATCATAGCAAATACATAAACGACGGGGCCAAATCCCCATCCATCCCTTTGACCTCCCGTCCTAGGATCTTCCTCTTCCTCTGGTTCATCCACACAAAATACCACAAGCACAATGCCGACCCAACAGCCATCCCACCACTGAATGCCACCATTACCCTGGTCCCGAGCACGTACTTGGGCGCAGTACTCAGACTACCCAGCAACCACGTCGACAAAATTCCCCCGGCACACCCCATCATGAACCCAATAGCAATTGCCGTAGCGCGGCGAACATGTGGCGCCGAGTTGATCGAGTTCCACGTTGACAACGTCGGAGCAGAGGTATACACGCCAGGGATCGACAGAAAGAGACTGCCATACCGAGTATTTGCCGACGACGAGGTAAGGAATATAACGAATCCTATCAGAGCGATGATAGAGGTGAAGACACAGACAAGACCTCGGATATGGAACCTGTCGCATAGGTACGCGGTCGTCATTGACAACGCAAAAGCGGCAGCAAACGGTGGCACACTCATGAGCTGGGAGCGAGCAGCAGTATATCCCAGGCTCTGGACAATCGATGGTGTAAAGCTACGAATATGGTTAGCACAGTGCAAAAACAGGACGTGAAAGGGAATGCGTACTAAGCCAGGCCAAGGAGGAGGGCACCCGAAAAGAAGAATTGAACACCAAGGATCCAAACATGTGGTGCGACGAATGCTTTCCTCACCTCTCTCCATTCGAACTGCTCTCCTCCAGACTCAACAACCTGACTAGCGACATATTCGCGTTCAGCTGGACGCAAAAATCTCGCTGCCATAGCATCTCGAGGCGTAAGGAAATAGCTCATTACTCCACAAGCGACTGTGAATGCGCCTTCGAGGATGAATATCCATCGCCACCCTGCGCGTCCTCCTACGCCGTCCATGCGTATAATACCATACGCAAGGATTCCCGAAAATGCTCCTGAGAGTGAAGCAGATGCGAAAAATGCCGATACACGGGTGGTCATCTTGGCACGTGGGTAGAAATGCGTGAGGTACAGCACCAATCCTGGGAAGACGCCGCCTTCGAACAGCCCGATGAAGAACCGACAGGCAAGAAGGCCGCCATAGCTCGTCACCACTCCTTGAAGGGTGGTGACCACGCCCCAGGTGGTCAGTAAGGTCGGGAGGAGATAGTTTGGACCAATGACCTGAATGGTTGCCAATAAGCTCAAAGATATTGGAAAGATGTGTATTGACCTACTCGAAGTAACAGATTTGAGGGTAGCTCAGAAGCGATATACGGAACGTAAGTGACGGTCAACGCAATGCTATACTGCTTGTTTGTCATTTGGAGGTCGCTTTGAAGGCCAGCAACGCGCGCATTGCCGATGTTCGTTCTGTCCTATGAGGGACTTCAGTGATTCAAGGAATCGGATAAGATAATAGCGGATGTACCAGGAATGACAAGAAAAAAAACATGGCTATTACTGGTAGCAAGAATAAATCCAGCTTGAGCCATACCCTCCTTGCCGACGGTGCATCGAGTTCAACACTGTGATGGCTCTTTCCGCTCTCAGGGCCCTTTGAATCGTTGCTGTCCTGAAGGGAATCGATCATGATTCTTAGAACGAGCGGACATAAATAACGAAGTATATATACTCAGCGCGGCCTGGCGGCCGCTTTATAGATACTCGCGGAACTCGTACCCGTATATAAAGCCTGGTACCCAGAGCGGGGGGTATACTGGTAGGGTCCGAAAGTTTTTGTGGGCCCCAAGGGCCTCTGTATTTGGTCATAAATTGAAGCTATATGCATTTTAAGATATCTGGAGTACATACCAAAATGTCGATCCCTAGAGAGGACGAGAAAACGTGCTGATTTTAATGGTAAAATGGCAGGGCGACGAGATTTCCTCCCTATAAAATTTCAAGAGGAGTCTCAAAATGGCCTATATCCCAGTATACCCCCGCCCTGGGTTCCAGGCTAGGCCTAGCGTATGACCAATGATATGGTCACGGGATGAAACTACCAAGGGAAGAGAGAAAGCACTAGAGACGTCCGATACGATCGTGCAGGAACGATGGTACAGAGAATGAAACCGTCCTGTGATGCCTGCCCTCTCCTAGCCAGATAGAAAGTGTACCTCTATCGCCACCAATCAAGAAGCTTAGGTGAGGAATTGTGAATATCTTGAGAATATGATCATGAGAATCCAGGTCGAGGGCAAGAAAAAGTGAAACGAACCTGGAAATAAACTATGCAGTTTTTATTGTATTGATGCAATAATAGATACAGGTCCCTCGCCGATGATAGCGAACCATGAGTAAAGCGGTCTTCAGCCGCGCCTGGTAGAGCATTTTCACGTCCAGAGCAGCTTGTAACGCGTGGGCGGCGATATCTACGACGACGAGAACAGCAATATGGTGGTAAACGGTCAAAACGTAAAACGCGAGATAAAAGGTTGTGCATGTTTGGAACGGAAGGTACTGGAGTTTCTTTTAGATATTCCTTGCCACGCCATACTCCGACCATCCGGATCTTAACCTTTCTTTTACCGAAAAACCCAGTGTTCTGGTGGTTAAATCATGAATGCATGATGGTTGGCCCAACGCTGATATTTTGATTTCATACCCAATAGATCGACTTTAGTACAGAGCCAGCCTATTGTCCATAAGATATATTTAGTAAGGAGCCGCACGAGACGTTCGACTTCTTGATTTTACAGCTTTCCCCCCGTCCGTCCCCCCCTTTTCCTCTGCCTCTAAATTCCGTCCTGACTCTGCTATATTCTCGTCATGGATAGCCTCCTCTTTCACCTTCGCCATGATCTTCCGAGCTGTTACCCGTTCTCTTCTTCACCACACCCACAGCAGTTACCGGTACCAGTATCTCCTCCGCCTTGAACGTCGTGACCTCAGCATCCTCCAGACCTGCAGGAGAATCTACTGCCACCTCTCTGATGATACAGGGGGAGCGACAAGCGCGCTCTCCCCCGTCCCACCTATTTTCGTCTTCAAAGCTCTCAAGGCTCGCGAGTTTGACTTTCCAGTCGTATACACACTTTCATACATCCGCTTCATGTGTCGAATCCGATGAGCATCCAGCTTCGCCAGTCCCATAGACTCCCGTATGTGGGTACAAATATCTTGAGGATCAGCGGATACGGTGTTCTGCAGCTCGAAGATTTGCCTCTCCATAATACCTAGATGAGCATCCATGTTGACGCTTCGCTCATCAATGTTTCACAGCCTCCTTTCCAGATTGACTATCTGGTGCGGTGAAAGAGTGATAGATTGAATTCTCCCTGAAATAGACACGTGTGGTGCCGAATTGGTAGAGTTCCAGGACCCCAATGTCGGATTGGCGCTGTACACAGCAGGTCTAGTCAAAAAGAAGCTCCCATACCGGGTGTCTGCCGACGACGAGGTGAGAAACATGATAAATCCTATCAAGGACATGATGGAGGTGACAATACAAACAAGGCCTCTGATCAGGAACTTGTCACATAGGTAACATACGCATTACTACCTGCAAGTGGTGATCAATGATCATCGCATATGAACAGAGGGAAACACTTTACCATCATAGCAAATACATAAACGACGGGGCCAAATCCCCATCCATTCCTTTAACTTCCCGTCCCAGCATCTGCCTCTTCCTTCGATTCATCCACACGAAATACCCCAAGCATAATGCCGACCCGACAGCCATCCCACCACTGAACCCCACCATTACCCTGGTCCCGAGCACGTACTTGGGCGCAGTGCTCAAACTACCAAGCAACCACGTCGACAAAATTCCTCCAGCACTCGTCATCATGAACCCAATAGCAATTGCCGTAGCGCGGCGAACATGCGGTGCTGAATTCGCCGCGTTCCAGGTGGACAAGGTCGGGGCGGAGGTATACGCACCAGGGATCGACAGAAAGAGGCTACCATACCGGGCGTTTGCCGACGACGAGGTAAGGAATATAACGAATCCTATCAGGGCGATAATGGAGGTGACAACACAGACAAGACCTCGGATATGGAACCTGTCGCATAGGTACGCGGTCGTCATTGACAACGCAAAAGCGGCAGCAAACGGTGGCACACTCATGAGCTGGGAGCGAGCAGCAGTATATCCCAAGCTCTGGACAATTGATGGCGTGAAGCTACAAATGAGGTTAGAACAGTGCAAAAACAGGACGTGAAAGGGAATGCGTACTAAGCTAGGCCAAAGAGGAGGGCACCCGAAAAGAAGAATACAACGCCGAGGATCCAAACATGTGGCGCGACGAATGCCTTCCTGACCTCTCTCCATTCGAACTGCTCTCCTCCAGGCTCAACAACCTGACTAGCGACATATTCGCGTTCAGTTGGACGCAAAAATCTCGCTGCCATAGCATCTCGAGGCATAAGAAAATAACTCATTATGCCCCAAGCGACTGTGAATGCGCCTTCGAGGATAAATATCCATCGCCACCCTGCGCGCCCTCCTACGCCATCCATGCGTATAATACCATACGCAAGGATTCCCGAAAATGCTCCTGAGAGTGAGGCGGATGCGAAAAATGCCGATACACGGGTGGTCATCTTGGCACGTGGGTAGAAATGCGTGAGGTACAGCACCAATCCTGGGAAGACGCCGCCTTCGAACAGCCCGATGAAGAACCGACAGGCAAGGAGGCCACTATAGCTCGTCACCACTCCTTGAAGGGTGGTGACCACGCCCCAGATGGTCAATAAGGTCGGGAGGAGATAGTTTGGACCAACGACCTGAATGGTTGTCAATAAGCTCAAACATATCGGTAAGATGTACATCGACCTACTCGAAGCAACAGATTTGAAGGTAACTCAGCGGCGATATACGGAACGTAAGTGACGGTCAACGCAATGCTATACTGCTTGTTTGTCATTTGGAGGTCGCTTTGAAGGCCAGCAACGCGCGCATTGCCGATGTTCGTTCTGTCCTATGACGGACGTCAGTGATTTAAGAAATCAGATAAGGTAATGGCAGACATACGAGGAATGACAAAAAATAGAACATTGCTATTACAGGTAGCAGGAATAAATCCAGCTTGAGCCATACCCTCCTTGCTAATGGTGCATCGAGTTCAACACTGTAATGGCTCTTTTCGCTGTCAGGGCCCTTTGAATTGTTGCTATCCTGAAGGGAATCGATCATGATTGTTAGATTGGGGCAGACATAAATAACGAAGTATATATACCCAGCGCGGCCTAGCGTATGACCAATGGTATGGTCACGGGATGATATACCAAGAGAAAGAGAAGCATTAGAGACGTCCGATAGGATCGTGCAGGAACAATGGTACAGAGAATGAAACCGTCCTGTGATGCCTGCCCTCTCCTAGCCAGATAGAAAGTGTACCTCTACCGCCGCCAGTCAGGAAGTCTGGCTGCGGAATTACGAATATCTTGAGAATGTGATCATGAGAATCCAGGTTGAGCACGAGAAAAAATGAAACGAACCTCGAAATAAACTATGCCGTTTTTATTATATTGACGCAATAATAAACACAGGTCCCTCGCCGAGGACAGCGAACCATGAGTAGAGCTGCACCGACGGTCTTCAGCCGCGCCTGGTAGAGCATTTTCACGTCAAGAGTAGCTTGTATACGCGTGGGACGGCGACATCTACGACGGCGAGAATGAGAATATGGTGGTAAACTGGTCAAAACGTAAAACGCGAGATGAAAAGGTTGTGCATGTTTGGAACGGAAGATACTGGAGTTTCTTTTAGATATTCGTTCCCACGCCCTAGCCTTAGCTGATCTTAACCTTCCTTTGCCCTGTTCTAAAGGAAAAACCCGTGTTCTGGTGGTTAAATCATGATGGTCGGCCTAACGTTGAACTAATATTGCAATTTCATACTCAAAAGATCGACTTTAGTACAGGGCCAGCCTATAGTCTATAAGACATCTACAAGTTAGTAAGGAGCCGCACGAGACGCTCGGCTTCTGGATTTTACAGCTTTCCCCCCATCCGTCCCCCCCTTTTCCTCTGCCTCTAAATTCCGTCCTGACTCTGCTATATTCTCGTCATGGATAGCCTCCTCTTTCACCTTCGCCATGATCTTCCGAGCTGTGTTACCCGTTCTCTTCTTCACCACACCCACAGCAGTTACCGGTACCAGTATCTCCTCCGCCTTGAACGTCGTGATCTCAGCATCCTCCAGACCTGCAGGAGAATCTATTGCCACCTCTTCTGATGATACAGGGTGGAGCGACAAGCGCGCTCTCCCCCGTCCGACCTATCTTCGTCTTCAAAGCTCTCAAGGCTCGCGAGTTTGACTTTCCAGTCGTATACACACTTGCATACATCCGCTTCATGTGGCGAATCCGGTACGCATCCAGCTTCGCCAGTCCCATAGACTCTCGTATGTCGTTACGAATATCTTGAAGACCGGCGGATACGGTGTTCTGCAGCTCGAAGATTTGTCGCTCCATAATACCCAGATGAGCTTCCATGTTGACGCATCGTTCCTCGACGTTTCGTAGCCTCCTTTCCAGATTGACTATCTGGTGTGGTAAAGGAGTGATAGATTGTATTCTCCCTAAACATAGACGCCGTATATCAGAATGCAACTCAAAATGAACATGAACCTGGAAAATTCACCTATGAAGAGAGATTCATCATTGGCAAGCGCGTTCGTTGCATTTTGGAAGAGGGCAGTGGCAATTTGGTCAGGACTCCTGAAAGAATAGGATTGAGCTTCGAGGGCAACAATCAAAGTCACTGCGCGACGACGCACAATCCACCATATATCTGGGTCTGTGGCTGTCCTCTGGAGCTGTAATATGCAGTTAGCTTGAGGACTGACAAAGATATCGGTACAACTCACCTATCACCTTGCACCTCCTCTAAGGATATTCCTTCATCGATACTCATCCTTCAAAGTACCACTGCATCAACACATTTTCGCAGAACCCAAAACTAGAAGTACATACAAACTAGGCTGGGACTGCAGGCTGACCTTTCCTCTAAAAGCGGTGGCGAATTCATTGCCGACGCCCAGTCCTAGCATTTCACGGCGCATATCCTGACTTGCAGAGTTCATCGTAAAGTCGTCACTAGATGTCGTTTACAAAGATGGTCAGCTTCTGGTATTGCACGTCAAGAAGACAAAGCATACTCGTCAAATGCATCGGATTGCGAGTTCATCTTTGTGGAACGTAGGAGGGCAGGTAGTCGTATCTATCAAAAAAGTGTGCGTGCGTATATCATGAATGGCGGTATGAACACTTTTATACCGTACCGAACCATCGAGCGCATTGTCCTCGAGTACAATAGCATATCAAGTGGATCCTCCAATGCAGGTATCCTCGCTGTTTCGCCACCCAAAAGTATAGCAGCTCTCCATAATTGCATGAAAGCTCCATAACGATAGATTTTGTCAGCGTATGAACATCTTTTGTCCTTCTCGGCCGCCCTCAAGCGCTTGATGCCTAACCTCCCAATTCGGCCATGTATCTGGAAATCTCGCATTGTTCTACGTATGTCGGTTAACATGAAGATCCTGGGAAAACGAGAACAATAAGAGACGATCAACGAGAACCATAGCGACAAGATGGAAGTGTGTGTCAAAGCCAGGCGCCCAGTACCCAGAGAGCGAGCAGTCCCCAAGAGGCCCGGAAGCATTACAGCCTCTATTGTCTAAGGCGCTGTGCTATGTGGGCACTGGGCAACGGTGAGACCAGTGAATAGCTTCAAACAGTTCGCCATGGATCGACTAGAAGCTGGGAAAGACGCAAAGGGTGAAAATAATCAACGTTTTAAAATGCTAGACCGCGAAATGATTGTTACAGTGCTGGCGACGCACTTCCACATCCACACTGTGGCGGCGAAAGTACCATTGACAGTAGACTTCCTAAAGTACTGGCAGTGCAACGACTAAAGCATGCCGTTTTTTGATATCCAGACATGGAGAAATAAAGATGATTCAGATAAATTGGAAGGGAAAGCTAGCGGTACTTGATCATGATGTAAGCAAGTTGGAAATGGGTCCAAGCCAAATTTTACTGAAGCCGGACTTTCGGGCCGCCTTCCGCGGCACTCTCTTGTTGATTCTCTTCCACCACCTGCCTGTGCTCTCTGGTCGAAATGCTCTGGAGGGCAGCGCATCTCAAGCATGGTCTATATCTCTGAACTTCTGTACTGACCTGAGCACAAAATGAAAGTTACGCAACACTGAGCCACCGCATAGAGAACACGGCGCAATTCCCGGCAAACTGCGTAAACCTAAACTCTAGCTTAAGGTCTCGAATAGCCGCCCACGCGTTCCTATCTTCCTATCATACTCAGGTTTATCGATATGGATCTCAATCTCTCTGACTGCTCGAATGTGTCGCTGCCAGCTATCAGAACATCCCCTACCCAGTTCGCTTGTATGTCGATCTCCGAGGATCGTGAGGTCCATGCAAACAGCACGGAGTGTCTGGGTACATTTATACCACCGCCAATCAGGAATTAATCTCAAAGCTGGGCTACGCGAATATCGGAGGCGCGTGGGATCAGATCCTTTCCATGATCATCCGAATCGTCTTGATCGCACCTTGAAAATGTGTCTTGACTCCGACTCTGTAGATGAGATCTTAGCATCTCAAATCGTAACACACCGCAGTATTATGACCAAGTGAGCGAACGCTACCAATATTAGAGCCATATACTGATTTATATCAGGCTATTATATGGGGCCGCTCAACAGCTCAACGTCTTTCTCTACAACGGGGTGCTGTACATTGAAGAGTACTGATCCCGAACCTGACCGGTAAACGAGCTGAATAAATAGAGTAGCTCCAATCTCATTACTATCTAGCATCCACACCTTTGTCCGCGACGGCGAATGCATTGGGTCCGCTATTTTCGTCCCATAGATCCCGAGTGCTAATTTTAAAATATCTCTAGATCCAACTTCGAAGCGTTATGCACTGGTGGATCTCCTAACGGTATTAATAACTTGCATGCGAGGTGGATATGCAGGTGTCACATTCAATCTGGGAGATTTAAAGGTAGTCTTTGCAGGCGAGGTTGACTGCCAAAAAGATTGTGAGCTGCGTATTGCCTGCGTGTATTGATACCGTTTCTTACCGCTACTTCCGCAGCAAACGTCACAGGGCAGGCAAAAGACTGTCTAGAGCTGAAAACGAAATGCCAGGGTTCGAAGTAAGTCGATCTATATTACAATTTCGGGCACCAAATGACAACGATGCATCGTAGACAGGCTCCTGCGAAACTTCGATGGTACTTCCAATCATCTCTTATCGGTGTCCCAACCATTGTCCTGGGTTGGCATAAAGAGGGCGTGTTGACGGCGGTCGATATGATTGATGTTGCTACGATGGTCGATGAAACGATTCTGCAGCAACGGTATGACAGTGCTGCCATATTCCTTACCTCCTTACGGCGGCACTGCATGGCGCACGCTATGGAGAAGGAAGATAATCCGATATGGAGGCTTATAACTAAAAGTGGACTACAAAGAAGACCTACCATTCGTGCTTTGAACTCCGAGGAGGTTCAATCAGTTAAATAGAGATGACGCCAGGATTGGTATTCTTCCTAGTTGGCCTTGTGACGGCTTTACAGAAATGATTGCTTCTGTAATGACTTGTGCACAGTGTATAACAATGCATTTTTGGGCGTCCGTGGGCCCACAGTACGTGTGAGTGAGATATTATATCTAGTTGCACCCAACGGCACATGGTAAATACTCGCCCCATTTGCCGCCTTCCCTTCTACCAATAATCACGTTCCGAGCCACTGCTCCCGTCTGACGAGTTCCACTCACTTTCAGGGGGATCCAGTCCATCCTTTTCGTACTTTACAACCAGTCCGTCCTCCAATAGCTCTCTCCAAAGATCTCCTGTTTCCTCATCGTCAAAGGTCTCCAATGGCGAGTCTAAACGCACTTCCTGCAGGATACTGCAGGTGCGGTCCTCGCTGATCCTTCCCACAGTAGAAGGACGTCGACGAGACTCCGCCATTTTTACAAAGCCTGGTAGTTCAGGCTTTTGAACTGGGAAGAGCGCAGGTCTAACGAAGTGAGCTTCGGAAGGAGAAGGGGAACGTCAGGATCGGGAAGAACAATAAGTCGGGCGAGAAAGGCATTGGAAAGGGGATCGACGCGAATCCGAAGGTCTGTGACGTTGGGTGTAGATTGCACGAATCTTGCGAGATCCCCAGGGCTTCCCCCAGTGCTATGAAGATCGGCGCGTACTTCAAGTGTGGTAGCTGTACAACGATTAGACATGTCTAACGGAGGAAATACGGTATGTTCGCCCTTGTCTCTGTATTCAATTTTCAGGGAAATGAGAGAAGGAAGCCGAATGCAAGTATAAATCTGAGCCAGAGAACCTTCTACCATGTCATAATGAGACCTTCGTTCCTCGCATAACGACAAATGACGAAGACTGGGGAGGGTGATGGTCTCAAGCGGAATTGAGTCTATATCGCTTTCGTGACATACGAGATTTAGGCGAGTTAGCGAGGATGACTGTGTTAACATCTGCAGCGCCTCAAAATGCTGTGCGTTGGTAGCCACGAAACCGTGATATTCCGTCAGGTTGTGAAACGGTAAGCTATAGTATTCGATGGGTCCCGTGACGTTAAGGTACTGCAGCGAAGGAAGGGAGGTAAAGGCATCGATGGAAATGTTCATGTCCCTTGGTTCCTTAGCATTGGGATTGAGCTGCAAGGCAAGGTGCGTGACGCGAGCAAAACATTCGCTATATGGGGTCAAGGAGTGGAAAAATGGGTATGACACATTCAGCATTAGAGTAGTGCACTGCGGAATAAACTTTGGAATAATCAATGGGAGTAACGGGTGGTCGTCAGCCGGATTCGATATCGAAAGGCTGATATCGTGCCCCTTCAGCCTCTCGAGTTGAAGTTCAAGGAGGTATCTTTCATTCCCTAGCTCCTCGGAATCACTGAAAGTCAGGTTAACGCAAGACCACAGGCGCGATGTGTTCACCGCGACCGCTCTCCACTGACGGCAAACATGGGACAAAGTCCATGGAGCGTCATCCGTTACCAGCGAGTCGTAGTCATAGGAATGCCATGAATCTAACAGCTTGGTCGGATTTCGCACGCAAAGCTCGAAGATTACAGTCAATATATCATCGGGAAGGCGACGAATCGGATGCAGGCCAGTTCTGATGGTGTCGACCTCGTTGGCAATTGCATCGCGCGCATGTAAATGAGCCTCAAGCTCTGTTCGTAGCTGGATAATTTTCTTGTCGATGTATGACAAGGATTCAAGACGGCGTGCAAGCTCAGCACGGAGAATATTCTCTTGGGCGTTGGATGGCGGTTCGTTGTTCTCGTACAAGCTTTTAAGTGATCCCGCTAGCATGAAATCGGTCATGCCGAAAAGCTGGTCAGACGAAGACATGAATCTGGGTAAGTAGAAGTATCAGTAAATTTTGTTCTTCACGTACACGACGCTGAGATGTACCAACCTTCCAACAAACGCCGTTTGTAGCTCTAGGGCAAGGGAAACAAACGGATTGACCTGTCAATATTCCGGCAAATATTAAGACAGTATAGAATCTGAATAAGACCGGATTTACCGAGGTTCCTTTCGAGCTACAGTCTAAGTGGACGACAATGAGCCTCCGAAAGGATTGGGACTCCCGTGGAACCTGGCGTGGATGGAGGCGGTCGACAAAGTTGGTATCCGGAGCTCGGACCGAGACGCTTCCGACAAGCATGGACAATTTCAATCAATGCCAGCTTATTTGAAATTCAAATCTTCGCGGGCAACTTGTTACTTGGTGCACTTTGTATGCGGCATTGCGTTACTCTGGACACCTTAAAAAAACAAAATATCTTGCGTTTATTGAAAGCTTCCACAGATGCCTCTCTGTCAAGTTTCCAGGTGCGTACCTCTCTTATTTCTAGTATTCTGGACTGGTTTATTGTTTCTGGCAGCGTTCGCGTAGATGGCGCGTTGTCATAGAGATATTTCTTAGATTATGTCTATGATAGTTGAGTGCCTTGTGCTCGATAGCGACGTCTTTATCCTGTCCAACGGGATCTCTTCAACTTCGCATTCTTATCGACGTACCGACATATTTCCAGCTGTCCTTAAAGTGATAGGTATGGAGCCTCTCAAATGGTGCACTATGTTAACTGGCTACTTTTAAAATTAGCTACATCTGAATCTCAGCTTTTCAGAATTCAATTCTCAATACTTACTGCGACAGGCCTAATGATTCTTTTGTCGTTTTAGTGGTTCCGTGGTATAACTCCGAAATCTGCAAGTTGGCGTTTATATCAGACTTAGCTTGAGTCTTGACTATTATTCTAACGAAGCTATAGAGCTTTGTCTGCCGCGTGTACGTGCTGGATGGTTCGCGCATCTGACGGCATTAACAAAGGCTGCAAAAAGGAGCTCAAGGCGTACCTATGACAATCCTTCGTCAGTCTGGTTCATTAACATATACTATCCAGGGCTGATGCTTCATGCTGCACATGAAGCCATTGCGAAATGGTGGCGTCTATAAAGACGGCTTACTAGACTATGGTGTCGACCAAGAATGTAGAGCTCATCTTTCATCAGACATCAATAACTGTCAAGTTACAGAATCCAAACTATGTCGTCCGCGGCTGTCGGTAAAGAGGTAATCAACTTGGCTAGCTTTTCATCTCACGAAGTGGTCATGGGCGCCGTCGACCATCTGTATGGTCCTCATGTAGGATTGTGGCGTATCCAGGGCGCTTGGAAAGCGATTTCGACAGCTGGTTGGTTGTTGTGGCAACACGACAACCATATGTGGGGATCTCCCGCTTGTCGGAGAGTGCAATATTAGACGCCCATGTTACCATTGCTTCGGCTAGACATTAAGGTACATATGCATCATTGCATGTTGTTCGTTCCTTTCTGATATTCTATATCATCGAATCTTAGACTTCGACTATCATTGAGAGACTGACAGCCGGTACTCCATTCCGGTTCTCGGTGTGTAAAGCGTGTGCTTTGCTTGATTGACAGCAATCTTTGACCTGTATGTTTCTCATCCCTGATCGCTTGGCCTTCTGATATTGATACGATTGCCGTGTTGGTACATTACTAGTGACAGGAAGTCGACCTTTCGAATCTTTCCTTGGTAACTTAGTTTAACATCTAACGTACCTGAACATCTTCCAACGCTTGCCCTCTTTTGATGGCGTTAGTTCCTGGAGGTAAGCATTCATTTAGCTCAGTTAGCTGTATTAACGAAGCTAATGTTCCGCAGATTTCGGTTGCTTGTCCGGAAGACCTCATGCTGGATGTTGCTCTGTTAGTTTACATCTTTTTGTACACGCTGATACGTTCCTGATGAATTCTCCAGAATGCGCAATAGTAGACCTCAGGGAACTCCATGTATCAATCAGTAATCGATTGTTGACACTCGTGAGAGCCATGTTCCTCAAATTAGTTGATTTGGGTTGTAATGATGCTTTGGCATAGAAATGTGATACATAAGCCCTGGATGGGAAATGCGAGCCATATTCTGTCACTGCAGTTACCTACAACCAAATATCGACATAGTGGTCCCTAGCTCAGTTGCTGCTCGCAAAATCTCAATTGCTCCGCGTCGCCTGGGGAAACCTGAATGACAATATTCTTGGATAGTAGCCAGACACTCCATCGCTGGCCAATAAGTCGCAGACCTGAAGTTGGAATTTCCACCCGGGACCCGGATTGCCGGCCCGCTATCCCTACCGGCAAAGTTTTTTTTTGCCCCCCTTTGCCGACGGTATTGTACGCGCTGCGCACGAGTACGCTTCCTTCGATTGGCATCGGCTACAAATTTCAGTCCAATATATTGCGATGCAAGCACGTAATGCATTCGGCAGGTCCATCTACCTCTTAGTAAGGCTAGCGAAAGTTATGACCTGCTTAGAGATGATGTCCCTGGGTTCTCAATGTTTCTAGTACGCTTTTTTATGATTTTCTAGCTTGATCAAGAGCGCTCATTTCAGCCCCTCGATTTAGTAAACCATACGCTTCTTACACAATGGCCTACGCGAAGAGTGCGGCGCCTTTGTTTCGCTGTAACCGGCAGCAGAGCCTACCGAAAATTTATAGGTCCTGAAAAAATTCCCGCCCACGTATAATTTCCCCCTCCCTCTGAGCTTTGGGTCGCTGAACAATTTTGGACGATATTAAGCCGGTTGTTGGCCATCCAAGCATTCAAAGTTGCAGAAACGTAACGTAACAGTGAGGGTAGAACTCTCCCCGAAAGCTTCAACATTTCTCCCATCCCACTGTCCCCTCATTGTAACGGGGTGCTTCTTATCGTTGCAAATGGTTCGCTTCCTTCATTGGGCGCTCGCATGTGGTGAAGATACGGCATACCTGACGAAGCCTTAGCACTTTTTTTTGAATCTGCGCCTACCCATTTATCTGGTCCCCACTTCGAGAAGTCCTTCTTGTTCTTCGCACACGCGCTGGGAGATTAATTTAACTGCCCTCTTGCCAAAAGTTTTAAAGGCATATCATTTCAATGCGGTACTGACTGTCAGTGTGCAGTGGACTATGCCCGGGATCCGAGGGCGCACTTCTGGTCTGCTCGTGCGGTTTACTTGTCGGCCTATCCTTTTTTTGTCGAGCTTGATCCCGACTTCCCAATCATTCCGAATCAGCCGTTAGCCTCCAGCCATTTTGCTTCGGCCGGAGCTAGTAATCCCATGGTGGTGATCGGGGTAAGAAGCATCTGCTGCGTCCCCGTCAATGATTGGTGGACCAACCTCTCACTGTAGCCCAGAACTCCCCAAAACTGACAGTCCTCATGGGGTGCCGATAGTGCTAAGAGTCTACTCGTCTCACACATACCTGGAATAGAACAACGTTCTCACCCGCCATGGTCATGGACCTGCCGTCAGCTGTGAAAGGTACGCGCCACTTAACTTACAGCCGTGAAAAAGATGATTGTTTGGTCCTCAGATACGCGTCTTCACTAAGAAGTTTTCGGAGCTGAAGATAGAGCGCCGTCTCACGATCGTGCCCCAATTCGAGATGCCATGCTACTGAGTGCACATTCAATATGCCTTTCATTTCCGTATGTTCTAACTGCGATCAATTTACACTGACTGATACTCATGCCTCCTTGTTCTACCACATAGTCTTTTCTTAAATTTCGGACATTACAGTCATGCCGGGTTGTGGGGGCCTTCTAAAGTTCGGGAGGTTCCCTATCGATAATTTTAGACGGTAAGATGAACACTTCAGCTACGATTCGCTACTCACTCTCCCTTACAGGCGACGCTGCCGAGGAACATGTTGGTACTACCGACCTGATCTGTCCTGTTACTTCGACCAGATCTACATGGAACATTATAATGACGAAACTTTTGCACATCGACCAGCCCTGAATAAGTGTCGCCCTCTCGTACGCTGCTAACCCGTTCCAGGCTAACCAAGGTGGGGAGATCTCCATCTCTTCTCACCCCACCGGCAGCCGTCTTCAATCTTCTCGGTGTTTTGCATTCAGGAACAAACGATGTGAACTAAGTCCCCTGACGTCTAGCTTCGGGAGAAGGCCGAGACTCTAACTTGTATACAATGCCTTCACTTATGTAGGTGCGTCTCACGAATGACATTCCCAATGATGTCTCAGGCTGTCCAAATCTTATTCATGTTCTATTGATGAAAATCAATTCATCTCTTAGCTTGTACCAGGCCTCAACCCCGAGGACATCCACTTCAGTACCGAGTAAACCGGTCTGGTCCGTCGGACAGCTTGCTTCTTTGCCGTCCTACTAATAGGACGCTGAAGGCAAGACCTCGCCGTTCCGCAGACTTCAAGATATATTTTTTTCAACACTATGTCTGTTTCCACTTATCTCCTATGACAGCCATAAAATTATCGTAATACTAAGTTGACGACTTTGACGTCGCTAGCACCCAAATTTCTCCGACGGTGGCCTTTATGCTCTTTGAATTGTCGATTACCAACGGAGAATGCGCACCGTTCTAACCCCCGAGGTATAGGATGCCCATGTGGGTTCAGCGTGCAAGGAACAATGAAAAATTCTCTCTTTGTCTTATCTCGGCGCCCTATCTAGTGATCTTCTATTGTCGTTAGATTGTCCTGGGATTTCATCATGTCTCTGGCCCAGACGCCATTTGTTGAGATTTATTTGAGTGACATGGGATCTACCTTAATCATAGACAGTCGAAATTGCTTAGGATGCCGATGGGTATACATCCGAGGATTCTATTGCTAGTACGATTAAGGGACGTGATTACTTCCATAGGTCGCAACAACACCCCGATAATCGGAAGAACGCTGACTTTCAGCATCCTCTCTCTTCATACACATACTTTTCCGCAATGTGCTCGTACCGCCACTCCATGCTAGCGTGGGCGGGTATGTGTCGTTATTCCAACTCCATTTTTTTCTTGACAGGACCGCAAAGACGCCGGCCGGTGGCTGGACATTGGAAAAAGTCTTCAGGGCCCTCGTGGAAGACTTTGCGGATGTAAAGAGATTGGATGCCGTTAACTAACAACCGAACATCGTCGAATCAAGGAACAGGGCTCTGTTGGTTGCTTGTAAACGATCGATCGAGTTAATTCTTCAATACTTGCACCGACAAGAAAGGTACGATGGGTGATATCCCGACTGGATAGCATTAAACTCAAAACGAGGAGAACGCCTTCCAGTTGAAATATCAACTCCGGGTTGCTGATCT